GTTATGCCCTTAAAAATATAAACTAAGAAGAAAAGAAAATGTTTTAATGTTTTGCACAAAAATAATAAATATGTTTACTTTTAAATGTTTTAAAACATTACATATTTGCCAGATATTAAGAAAAAAACATAAAAGGACAAGACAGCACTGTTTTAAACACCTATTTATGTTTATCCCAGAACTGCAGATAAATTCCCATAAGTGATAAAAGGAAAAAGATGTGTGCTGAAGCTGTAAAAAGGCCCTTTTAGGTGAACTGACATGTTTATAACAACTTCCTGTGAGTTAAGCAGTCAACTAATTTGATACCAAATACTTTTTTAATTTACCATCACAGTGATCAATACAACATAAGTAAAGGAGGAAGAGGAATTGATGCTTGTTGTAAAAGGCAAACAAGCTATTTAGGCCGTTGTAGCAGCTCAGTAAAAATTTCTACTCAGCAATAATTGGTCACATAGGAATATATATCTAAAGTATTTTGTAACACAACAATTTAAACATACTACCCTAGGGAGTAACAGCATATCTGCTGCTACAGTTAATCATTACCTGTAGTATTAATTATACAGGATTTATAAATTATAGTTTCAAGAATGGCCCACTAATTGCCTTTAACAGGTACTTGTTGGTTACTGGAAGCCAGTGGGAAGAAGCCATTGTATGTGGCCCTCTGCATTCCAACACCGGACAATTTAACAAAAGTACTAGTAGATGGAGTGGTGGCCTGCTCTATCGTGCCTGTATAGCCCTTACTATGATGTCACCTTGTAGAGAGGTAACTGCTATTGAAAAATAATGCTGGGGCACCATCCTTCCACTGATACCAATGCTAGGGCACCATTTCTCCCTATGGTACCAATGCTGTGGTACTATTCCCCCCGACTGACACCAATGCTGGGGGGTGCCCCCCTCCCCGCCCAACAATGCAGGGAAATCATTACTCCAACTGCAAAATACCACAAAGTCACACACACTAACTTTTGTTTGCCTGAAGAAGGGACCGCCTGGTCTCAAAACGTCGCTTTGTTCATCATGTTCAGTCAATAAAGGAGATTGACTGCTATCTACAAATGAAGTGAGAGTGACTTTGTGGTATTTTGCTTTTGATGTGCTGAGGCATCCGCGGTCACTTTTGGCACCCCCCATTTTTCATTTGGGCTTTATCCGGTCAGGAGTGCGATGGGATCTACTACACTCTGAATTCATTACTCCAAAAGATACCAATCACCTGATCTGACTTCAGTAAAATAAATTCTGATTTGTTGCTACAGGTGATGGCAAATTAACCACTGTTCCCTATACCACATTAATGAATAAGAAATAAATTAAGGAATACTGTATAGGAAGGATAGCCCTTCCCTTCATAAAGAGATATAAAGCGATACTGAAACTAATTGAAAAATAAGGTTACTAACACCCATCCATCAGGTTCCCTTGTCCACTCCCCAACCTACAACAGAGAAACAAGTACTGTATATGAAATCTGTAACTCATGAGCTGCCCTATTTTTCCTTTAATCCAGCTTTTATAAATTAGGCCTAATGTTCTTTATAGCACATTTTACAAAATTGATAAGGTCCTACATTAGATATGCTAGAAAGACACAACCTGATTAACTGAAGGCTAAAAAATGAGCGCCATCTCCACTAAACACATAAAACACAGGCTAGACTAGGGTGCAAATGCAAATTAGGCAAAAAGATGAATGAGAGAAGTCAGGTCTCCTGTAAAAAAGGAAAGGAATATGAATTGTGCTAACAAAAACGTGTGGAGTATCTTTTTTGTGGTGTACAGGCTCTGCAAATTCCCAATAACGTTTGCACAGATACAGGTTACTTTCAACATCTGTGCAAAAAAAGAAACCAGATACATGTGTATTGCTTTTTGGATGTTAAGTCTCGGGTTTCCTCTTCAAACCAATATCCGTGCATGGTTTTATAATAAGTACTCTCGGAATACGGCCATAGATTTCCTATAACAGTTAGGCATGCTTGAAATCCTTAAGGAACATGTACAGGGCACTTGTTTTCCTCCAAGGAGCCCTCTAGGGATTACCAGCAACAGTGAAGTGTCAGAAGCTGCAATTAACATAAGAGGAACAAAACCGCTATTCTGAGGAAAATCACCACTCCACAGCACAGCAGATTAAAGCAATGATTTGTACACGATTGCCAAACAAGAACAACAGAACAATTATTTTACAATTATAAGTTTAAAATAAAATTTGCACTACAATTTGTAATTTTTCCACATACTGCACATTGCAATGCAACACGCAAAGCCAAAACAAAATTCTGAAACACGAACAGCAAAAGTCTCCTTTCACATACATATCCCGGTATGTTGTTAAATAAAAGTCTTATATTATTATAATACAGGATTTATATAGCGCCACAGTTTGCGCAGCGCTTTACAATATAAGGAAGACATTACAATTACAATACAATTTAAGACAAGATGTTATATGTTAGCCACTTAAAAACCAGGGTGTTAAACCCCCTTCCTGTCCAGGCCAAGCTGTATATTTACATTGCCTCCCTAATAGGAGCTTGCCGTCTGTATGTTTTTTTTACAACGGGCAGACGGCAAGTGGTTAAAGTGCATCTGGAGGTATCCAGGTGCACCTTAACATTTTCTGTAGAATAGAATGTCACCAGCACACCAAACAATGTGGTCAAATGTTCGTCCTTTATTGATGCATATTTTCACATGGAAGCTTTCACAATCTGCACCAATAAAGGACGATCACTTGACCACATTGTTTGGTGTGCTGGTGACATTCTGTTTTAAGTTTGTTGCCTGCGGTGCCATCCGCTGTCATCACAGCACCCACCTTCAGGGGTTCTTCAGAAAGGAGTGCGGCAGGACATTCTAAGCACTTTGTTAACATTTTCTGCAACCCACATTTGGTGGAATGTAATAATATTTCAGAGACTACATTCTAGGTTTAGTACTGCAACAGAATATATTCTTAGCAGGGCTGGACAAATCCCAGGAGCCAGTTAGCCTATGCTCCTTAAAATAAATCCTGCTGGCTCCTGGATTGGACAGACTAGCTCCTGAACTCCACATCTCTCTACCCCTGCTTTATAGTAACGCCATTATAAAGCGTGGCAATTTAAATTAAGCATATGATGAAATAGTGAATATGCAAAGATGACCACTGAAAATGATATGGGAAAACCATCAGTAAATGCTGAGATATAGGTAGCTGAATGTATATGTAAATCTTGACTATTCTTTAACAGTCAAGCTTACAGCCTAAACCAACTCTGGCAGCGATCCATTGGTCACAGAGGTTGCTCATCATATTTTATGACCAGAGAGAATTGGGAGGTGGGAATGAGAAGAGCCAAGCTAGGCATACAGCTGCATTCAACTTCACCGCCTACTCCTGAGTGTTAAGTGAGAGGGTCTGCCTGCTACAATCATAATATGTAATAACAGAGAAAGCTGGTGTAAGCAAATCACAAAAGCAGGAACACCCCCAGAGCTGCAGGTTGAAACCAACAAAACAAAATTGTAAAACGAGTTGTATAACAATTATACAATTTTTTTCTTCACAAGAGCAAAGTTTTGGTTTAGAGAGATTCAGAAAAACAACAAATTAGAGAAACAAAGCCAGCATATCTTGTCAAATACATGAGAAAGAAGATGAGGGTGGCTGATATGAATGATTCTATATATTCAGTAAATCACAGAATGTTAGTCCAGTCTCAAAGATGTAAAAACCACATGATTTTAAGGTTATGCAACAGTACCAGTATCCAAGAGTAGATGGTGTTGCAGAAGAGATATGGAATTACATATCTAGGCTATGATAAAATATGGGAACTTAAGGATGTGGGGCCTGTTATTAGGCAGCTCAGGTATTTCAAAGTTAACAAGTCAGTATATGACATGCACAGTGATAAAAAAAATTTGGCAACATGAGATTCTCAGCCAACAAGCATAAAGTGCAACATTTTTTAAAACCTAATGGGCACTTGCTTCCAATTGGTTTCATGTACAGTGTTGCATTTTCAAACACTGTCCTTGTTTCTCTTTTTGACTACTTGTAAATTGTACCATGTACTCCTGTTTGCCTCTTCTTAAATAAAGATAAACGAATTGCCACTTGACCTTTAAACGAAAGCAATATGCCCAACAAAGTACTGCGACCCATTTCCACTGTATAATGTTGAGTTCTGTAACTAAGGATTTCAAAGAAATGGATTGCATGCTGCCTAGGACATTTTAATCTGGGCATCCCAGGAATGCTTCAATCAGTGCACTTACTATATTGTTCAGT